TAGTTCAGATATCCATATTATCCGAAGTTGAACAAATATCTGAAATCTAAAAATCCTAAAAGTACACAAAACCAAACCTGAACCTGAATAAGTACTCAAACTCGAAATAAGTACACGAAAAATAGTCAAAACTTTTAAATGTAAGTAAAACACTCAGTTTCATTTTTATTTTGGTGATTGATTATACAAATTTTGGATCATGCGCATAGCTTTCGGATAAATAATATTTCGTGCAAAATACCTTAATTAGTCAAAAAAGTCCAAAAACAACAAAAATTGAACATGCATAGATACCCAAGCCAACTTTAGTCGGAGAGGATCTGAACCAAACCCGACCTAATGATGTAAAATACCCAAACATGTATATCTAAACTCGAATACCTGAAATAATTGAACCTGAATGAGTATGCTTAGGTTGCAAAAATTAGAGATGTTAATGAGTAAATAAAGTTCCACATTAATAGTATGAAAATAATAAATTACTTACATAAAATAGATATGGCTAATTCATTTATAACCAATTAATTTTAAATTGGAAGTTCACGAAATTTACATATTATTAGAGCTACTTGATGTTTGGAATCTCTATGGATGTTGTTCCTACAATAATCCAAGTTTGAGCTAGGAACGTGTTAATGAATGAAGGCTCTTATCAGTAGTTAAAGAAATCATTAGTTAATATATAAAGTGATATGGTTAGTCCCATTATCAGTAATCTTATATATTAAAACAGAAGTTATAACTTGAATTCATGTGTGATTTTTTTAAAAAATGGACTATTACTAGAAAGTATGTTACATTAACTTTATAATAATCTTATCATTATCTATTCTATTAAAATAGAGTCATTTTTTTTATCTACTGTTACAAATTGTCATTTAAATTTGGACCCTTTCTAGAGTGTTATAAATAATACAAGTTATATAGTTGATTGAACCACATTACTTAAATTAAACCGACGGTTATTTATGGAATAGAGTTTTGGGCATACTTTTGTTTTTATGACATTTAATTGTTTGGTTTTTGGGCTTAGTATTAAAGAAAAACTCCAAAACATTAAATAAACTTTCCACCTTAATGGATCAAAAATCAATTACTATTTTCATGCCCAAAAATATTTAATATTTTCAACAAAACAAAATTATCTATTATTAATCACTTATTTAAATCATGTACTTTAAAACATGTTAATATTTTTAGCCCAAAAATATTTAATATTTTCAACAAAACAAAATTATCTATTATTAATCACTTATTTAAATCATGTACTTTAAAACATGTTAATATTTTTTATTTTAAATAAAAATCACTCTATCTTGATAAATTTTAATGGTAACTTTTAAATATTTTATTGTTTTATTTTTCTTAAATAATTTACAGATTTAAAAAAAAATGTAAAACAAAACCAAAAACAAATCTAAAAACTAAAATCCAAAACCAAAAGCTGAAAACGCATGTTATATTTTTTTTTGCTTTTTTATACCAAAATAAACTATTTCAAATTTTTAGAAAATTATTTTTTCATCTTTTCAGGTTTAAATTACATGTTCGATTAATTGAGATTTGTTTGTTGGTAATATCAGTTCAAACTAACTTAACATGTCTAAAAATTAAAAACCCAAACCAAAAGCTGAAAATCAAAAATAGAAACCTAAAAACTAAAAACAAAAAACCAAAATTTAAAACAAAATCTAAAAATAAAATCTGAAACTAAAAATTAATGAAAAACAACTATCACCACAAATTTTGGTGAACTGATTTTATCCCAAAACATTCTTTAAATTAAAATAAAACCCAATTACATAAATTTTTAATCATAAAAAAATTATGCGCTTGAATTATATTTTTTTGCATTTTTTATTACAAAATAAAATATTTCAAAATTTTTTAAAAAATTATTTTGTCATCTTTTCAGTTTTAAATTACATGTTCGATTAATTGAGATTTGTTTGTTGGTAATATCAGTTCAAACTAACTCAGCGGATCTAAAAATTAAAAACTCAAACCAAAAGCTGAAATCAAAAATAGAAACTTAAAAATTAAAACCCAAAAAATCAAAATCTAAAAAAAAAATCTAAAAATAAATTGAAACTAAAAACTAATGAAAAAACAATTATCACCACAAATTTTGGTGAACTGATTTTATACCAAAACATTCTTTAAATTAAGACAAAACCCCAATTATATAAATTTTTAATCATAAAAAATTTGGGTAATATCAGTTCAAACTAACTCAGCGGATCTAAAAATTAAAAACTCAAACCAAAAGCTGAAATCAAAAATAGAAACTTAAAAATTAAAACCCAAAAAATCANATCACCACAAATTTTGGTGAACTGATTTTATACCAAAACATTCTTTAAATTAAGACAAAACCCCAATTATATAAATTTTTAATCATAAAAAATTTGGGTAATATCAGTTCAAACTAACTCAGCGGATCTAAAAATTAAAAACTCAAACCAAAAGCTGAAATCAAAAATAGAAACTTAAAAATTAAAACCCAAAAAATCAAAATCTAAAACAAAATCTAAAAATAAAAATTGAAACTAAAAACTAATGAAAAACAACCATCACCACAAATTTTGCTGAACTGATTTTATACCAAAACATTCTTTAAATTAAGATAAACCCCCAATTATTTAAATTTTTAATCATAAAAAATTTCCGCGCTTTTAAGCGCGGGTCAAAATCTAGTCTATTCTATTAAAATAGAGTCATTCTTTTTATCTACTTATACAAGTTGTCATTTAAATTTGGACCCTTTCTAGAATGTTACAAATAATATAAGTCATATAAATGATTGAACCGTATTACTTAAATTAAACCAACACAATTAATGTAAAAAGACGACCTTAATGTAAACAACCTTCAAAATACGGCAGATATCTATGTGTATACCAAAAACACATATTTTCTCCTACAAATATGGAATGTTTAAAAACAATATATATCATCAAAATATGGAATATGGAAATCTACTAATTATACTTAAATTAAACCAGTGGTTATTTATGTAATATAGTCCTGGGCTTACTTTTATTTTTTGAACAAATTATATAGTTTGTTTTTGGGCTTATTATTAAGAAAAAACTCCAAAAAACATTGATTAAACTTTTCACCTTAAAAGATCAAAAAATCAATTATTATTTTCAGACCCAAAAGATATTTAATATTTTTAACAAAACAAAATTATCTATTATTAATCATTTATTTTAATCATGTACTTTAAAACATGTTAATATATTTTTTATTTTAAATAACAATCACTTTGTTTTGATAAATTTCAATTGTAACTTTTAAATAATTTATTGTATTATTTTTTTCTTAAATAATTTACTGATTAAAAAAATGTAAAGCAAAACCAAAAACAAAATCTAAAAACTAAAATCCAAAACCAAAAGCTGAAAACTCATATTACATTTTTTTGCTTTGTTTATTTACAATATAAACTATTTCAATTTCTTTTTTTAATTGTTTTTCATCTTTTCAGTTTTAAATTAGATGTTCGATTATTTGAGATTTGTTTGTTGGTAATATCAGTTCAAACTAACTCAGTGGATTTAAAAATTAAAAACCCAAACCAAAAACTGAAATGAAAAGTAGAAACTTAAAAACTAAAAACCAAAAACCAAAATCTAAAAATAAAAAGTGAAACTAAAAACTAATGAAAAACAATTATCACCACAAATTTGGTGGACTGATTTTATATCAAAATATTATTTAAATTAAAACAAAATCTAATTATACAAATTTTTAATCATAAAAATTTTCCGCGCTTTTAAGCGCGGGTCAAAATCTAGTTATATCTTATGAAAGATCATATATATAATAACAAAGATACGCTTAACAATTTGGTTTTGGTAAATTACCACACACTTTTCAACTTAGTTACGCAAAATATGTCAATAGATATAAGTTTAAGAATCTTCTATTATTAATTAGAAAATATGTCAGAATAGTTAAATGCATCCACAATATATTAACAAAAATCACAGATTCGTAATATGGAATATTTATATATCCTAACAAAGTTTACACGATATATATTCTAGATAAATTTATTTCTATGTAAATTTTTAAAATTATATTTTTTTAAAAAGGAAATTGTTTAAAAAATTATTTTTTATTCTAGATAAATTTATTTCGATGTAAATTTTTAAAATTATATTGTTTTTTGAAAAAGGAAATTGTTTAAAAATTATTTTTTAGTAAATTTTTTTATAATATTAATTTATGAAGCTATAAGTTTAGTTTTTAGCAAAAATTTCTTCGAAGTTTATAGTATCTTTGCAAATTAAAGTATACTAATATTTAATCAAGCTCTATTTATATTACTTTATCTAAAAATGAAATACTAATTTAACAAACAATAAAATATAGAAGAAGAAACAAACACATGTTTGAAAAACATGTATAATATAGAAAATTTGAAACAATCTATTTGATTAAAACACGTATTATATAATATTATTATGTTTGAAAAACATTTACTATACATATCGTAATACATATCGTAAATATGTGATTACTATAATATATACCAATTTACAAGTGAAAACAAAGTGTTTATATAACTAACTATAAACGAAAACAAACACCCGCGCGGTTGCGGGGGTCAAAATCTAGTTGGTTTTAATTTAGAATTCACTTTATTGAAACTTGACAAAAGTCTTTTTTTTTCCTTTTTCTTTGGCAGGAAAAAGGATTCGCAATGGAACTATCGCGATAATTGTTGTCCCTACAGTTATTAACCTCTTCGTATTTGTTGGTCTTTTCATAATCTTTGACCAGAGGAGAAAGGCCTATAATAAAAACATCAACGGTAAGCTGTTAATTGCAGCAGTGAAGTTTACTTCCTATTTTGTAGAATAAACGTTTAATATATTGTGTTGGTATGTTTCAGAATGCTTTGATTCTGATGGACAATCTATGTTGCGGTTTAGTATTGGCATGATACTCTCTGCAACCGATGACTTTTCACCTGAAAATAAGCTTGGTCAAGGTGGATTTGGAACTGTCTACAAGGTAAAAACAATTCATAAACTATTAAGTCTTGTCAAATCTTGATATGGGTCAATAATTTAATTGCGAGATGACCGGTTTCAGGGGATTTTGCCGAACGGGCAAGAGATAGCGGTTAAGAGATTAGCAAGTGGTTCAGGACAAGGAGATACAGAGTTTAAGAATGAGGTTTCGCTCTTGACTCGACTCCAACATAAAAACTTGGTCAAGCTTCTTGGGTTCTGTCATGAAGGAGAAGAAGAGATTCTTGTCTACGAGCTTGTGCCCAATTCTAGTCTTGACCATTTTATCTTTGGTGAGTCTTTGTGAGACGTTACATATTAGTTACAATACATCTGGAATATTTGTTAGAAAATATAGCGTTTTCTTTGAAATCCGCAGATAAAGAGAAGCGTTCGCTTCTTACATGGGAGGTGAGGTTTAAGATTATAGAAGGCGTTGCTCGAGGTCTACTCTATCTCCATGAAGATTCACAGCTGAAGATTATTCATCGAGACTTGAAAGCAAGCAACATACTTTTAGATGCCGAGATGAACCCTAAAGTTGCAGATTTTGGGACTGCCAGGTTGTTCGACACTGATGAAACTCGAGCTGAAACAAGACGAATAGCTGGTACCCGGTAAGAAAAATTAAGCAACCTGTAAATTATCTGTTCTTAGCATTATCTTTCAGACATTTTTGGATCAGAAATGCATCAACTAATTTATGCAGCGGATATATGGCTCCGGAATACCTGAACCACGGGCAAATCTCCGCTAAATCTGACGTTTTCAGCTTTGGTGTTATGCTTCTAGAGATGATAAGTGGTGAAAGAAACAATAGCTTTGAAGGAGAAGGACTTGCAGCGTTTGTAAGCTTCCTTGCATGTTTTGGTTCGTTTCTTTTACTTATATAACATACTAAAGAAAGTAAGAACATATCATTATTGGTACAGGAGTGGAAGAGATGGGTTGAAGGAAAGCCTGAGATGGTTATTGATCCTTTACTGATGAAAAATCCGNAAGTGGTGAAAGAAACAATAGCTTTGAAGGAGAAGGACTTGCAGCGTTTGTAAGCTTCCTTGCATGTTTTGGTTCGTTTCTTTTACTTATATAACATACTAAAGAAAGTAAGAACATATCATTATTGGTACAGGAGTGGAAGAGATGGGTTGAAGGAAAGCCTGAGATGGTTATTGATCCTTTACTGATGAAAAATCCGAGACACGAGATCATCAAGTTGATCCAGATTGGCTTATTGTGCGTCCAAGAGAATGCATCAAAGAGACCAACGATGAACTCTGTAATAGTTTGGCTTGGCAGTGAGACTATCATCATTCCTTTACCTAGGGCTCCTGTTTTCACTAGGGATCAATCCCAATCTGAAAATAGTAAAATGTCAATGAGCAATGACATCTTTACAGATTTGAGTTGCCGTTGAGTTATAAATTAGTTGATCATTAGGTGTCTGCAACTGTGTTACTACAAAGATCCAATAAACTGTTTTTTTCGTAAGATGATATAAGCCATGTTCGGTTTTGCATCCAGACGTTGCATATGGATGCAAATGCTAAAATTTATTTTTTAACACCTTTAAATATGTATTTAGATGGTGCAGCTGGATGTATAGTCTCCAGCATCTAGAAAATTTAGATATCTAAGATGCAAAAATATATGTTTTTATGTCGCTGGTCAGTAGTACTAAATTCAGTTCTCAACACTTCTCCATCAGTTTAACTTACAAAGCA